GGGGGGTGCAGGGTCTGGAGCTGTGGCAGCAGGTGCTGTATACAGTCTGGCCTGGCCTGCCTTAGGCAGGGGGCAGAGGAGGCAGGCTGCCTGCAGCCACCACCCAGCAGCCCGCTGGCCCCAAGGAAGCAAGCAGAGCTGAGGAATCTGGCCAACGGCCACCATGGCTGAGCCCTGCCTGGACAGTTTACCATGGTCCCTGGCACCCGTGCATGACCAACCTCTGACCTAAGGCCAGACAGAGCAGGGCCCCTTGTGCAGAGCTCTTATCTCTGCAGTGTTGCAAATTCATACAAAAGCCTTCTGTCTCTTGCCTCTGTAGGGCCAACATCTGGACACAGGGAAAAGGCTTTGGGGCCCTGCAGGAGTGCCACATCAGGGTTACTGCCACCTGCTGCTGGAGCTCCTGGACATCCCTCCTGCTCCAGCGGCTGGTGGCAGTGGTGGAGAACTTGGTGGTGAGAGAAGGCCCTGGCAGCAGGCATGGGAGGTGTGGGAACTGGCCTGATGGGAGGAATATGTTGCCCATGACACCACCCAGGAGGAATGACAGGGCTAGGTGCAGTGGGCACACAGGGCCCAGCTGGAGGCCCTGGAGCAGCACCATATGGAGCTGGTCCAGCAGCAACTGTCCAGACAGGGACAGCCAGTGAATGCCACATCCATGCGCCCCCCACACCTGCCACCCTGCAGCAGGCCCCCACCTGGGCCTCGGAGGAAGGCCTTTGCCACCTCCCACACACAGGAGCCTCTAGCATTCGCCACAGCCCCTGGACCTGTGGGAGACTCCATGGCCAGGGTGTTGGCTGCCTGCCACAAGGCTCTGTTCCCTGGGTGCCCCCACTTCACAGCCCCCCACTCAGAGAAAGATTGAAACTTTTGTATATAGTTTTCAGTTTGGGGGGACAGTTTTTTATTGTTGGGTGAGGAGGGTCGTGGAGGGGCTCTGTGTTTTGGGGAGGGAGGAGAGAGGGGGCTCATTTGGTTAAAGGGGTGGTGGGAGGATGGGAGTGGGGGTTATGAGGCGAATAAAGGTGTTTATAGCAAACACGCATGTCCTAGAGTGCTAATGGGGGGTGGGGTGGGGTGGGCAGGAGGTAGGGAGTGTGTGGGCAGTGGCGCAGGCTGGTGTCAGTGGGGACATCCAGGTGGCAGCCTTGAGGAGCAGGAGGACCCTTTTCCTGGGGGCCAGGGCCAGGAGCTGGGGCAGGAGCAGGGCAGACATGTGCTGCCTCTTTCCATGCCACTGCTGCTCTGACACAGGAAGCATCAGCCCAGAGGTTGCTTTTAAGGTGTGTGTCAAGTGCTGGCAACTGGCTCTGCCTTCAGCATTGCTGCCAACTGCTGGCAGTCATGTGTCCGGAGGCTGGAGCTCCCCCCAGTGACCACAGAGACACGTGGCAGGGCTGGAGAGACTTGGGACTAAAGTTAGTCCCAAGCCTCAACACATGTAGACACCAGCCAAAAATGCTTAATGCACATAAGTTTAATGCACATTAAATTTAAGTGCACTTAAATTCATGTGTAGACATGCCCAGTGTCACTTTAGGTATTATTATAGTCATTTGGATGTTTTAGCTATTTTTCATATCTTAACATGTTGAAATTTCTTAGTTTAACATTTCCAGAGGTTGCAATGTTTATTTTGGGGATAGTTTTATTCCTGTAATATTTTAGTCACTGTAAAAAAATTACCTTTTGTAGAAGTAATTAGCTTACTTGACTAGAAAAACAGACAAAGACCAGATGTACTGATACTGCTCTGAGATAAGGAATCCGTATTCCTACATTCCTTGGGTTATCTTGATATATTGCCCTATGCATAGATAGTTTGTTTAAATAAAACTTTCTAAGTTTGTGTAATTTACTATTGTTTTGTTTCTCCAAGGTGTATTTTTTATGTCTTTCTCTGTCTTTAGTATAAATACGCTTGTAACCTTAGAGAGTCTGAGAAATCCTTTGAAACAGACAAGTGGGTGATTCCCCTTGCTGTATGGAATTCTCCCTGTGATCACAGTATAGTCCTAAATAAAGAAAAGCTGGCTCTGTCAGTTCTGATTCAACCACAACGCGAAGTTTGATTTCTTCCACACTTTAAATGACTGAGATATACAAAATCTTAATTTCAGTTGAATGTAGTCTTTCATAAAAGTATGCTAAACAAGAGACTGAAAGAAAATGTCATTGTATACAGTATTTGAAGGTATAGTTTCATAGTAAGTAGGGTCGGAAGGGACCTGAGCAGATCATCAAGTCCTGGCATGGCAGAAAAGAGTACTGGGCTCAAACAACCCCAGAAAGGTGATTGTCAAGCCTTGTCTTAAAGACCCCAGGGTAGAAGCCAGTACCACCTCACTTGGAAGTTGGTTCCAGATCCTAGCCACCCTGACAGTGAAGTAGCGCCTCCTGATGTCTAGTCTGAATCTACCCTCTGCCAGCTTGTGACCGTTATTCCT